ATAGTAACTATATAGTAACCCCTTAGAAATTTTTATAAATGTGCCCTAAAATGTTGCAAAAATCGGTGGATATGATAAAATGTACTATCGCTTTCAAAAAAAATATATAAGTTCTTTCATTTTTTTTCGAATTTTATTGAAATAAATCAACTATTCTTTAATTAAATTTTCAAATTAATATTTTTTTAAAAAAAAAGAGTATTGAAGAAACTATTCATGATTTTGGAGAAATTGACAAGTATTCATGCAATATCAGGAAAATGTCTTTAACTATATTTAATGAAGAATATGAAACAAACGATGATGGTGATGACGAAATTGATATAGAGAAGGTGAAAATCAAATGCAAATTGATCATGATATTAACAATTTTCGTGCTACATTCAATTTTTTAAATTTTGTGTTCCATAAAAAAATCCGAAATTTATAATATTCACCGACCTAAATCATAAATAATATATATATATATATTAATTAATTAAAAATCGATAAAAGAATCAAAATTTCTTCAATTTACCATTTTAAATTATAACCAATATTTACTATTATTAGCTTTTGATATTAGATAATTCAACATATTGTTATTATCATTATAACAAAGCGATTCAATTTCGGCTTTCTTTTTGGATTTTAAAAGCCTTTTTAATTCAGTCCTATTATTATAAATTTCAATTAATAATGAGTCAAAATTCCAATTATAATGATAGAGATAATGAAGAAAAATTTTTCACCCCCAGGTCTCTGGTAAATTATCATTTTTTAATAATTCTCTGCACTTTTTTAGATCGTTGCTCGTCATTTTGATTAGTGCACTATCTGGGATATCATAACTAAATAAAAAAATTTGTAAAGCCAGTTATTAGTGTTAATAATACTATCAATAATAGTAAATATCAATATAATTCAATTTTTATAACAAAAAAAGTTTTTTTTACTCCTTTCTATCCCTGCACTGCAAACCGATCCAACAAAAATTTTGGACAGCCAAATTTTCATTATCGTAATATTTGGCCTGAAATAAAGAAAAAAATTTTTTTAATTAATGCTATGGTTGATTATTTAAAAATAATATTTTTGCCTGCGACCCGTATTTATAGATACTTAAAA